GTATTATTGGACACTAAAGTTATTTAACTAATTCTTATAAAGCGTAAGTACTACATAATTATCCTCTTTATAATCACCATTTTGCTTACAACAAATAGCGTGATAGCAACAATATACTTAAACATTTATAAAATATATTACATATTTGCGTAAATAGGGGTAAATATTTAATAGATCCGTATGATTCACTAACAGCAGAGACACAGAAAAAGTGCGATTTTATTTATAGGAATTTCAAATACTTTAAATAAAATTGCATTTTTCCATGTCCCTGACTAACAGAGCTTAAATTACATTACTATTTTACCAGCTATTTATTGTATCAATTCTTATTGTTTAAGATCTCAGAAATTAAATATTTAGCTATTAATCTCGATTTAGGAACTTATTATGCTCTTTTTGAAACCCAAGCAAAATATGAATTCACTCCTTACCTGAAACCAATTCAACCACAGCTAATTATTGATGTAGCCAAGGAGACCACACCAAAGCCAAAGTCGATAAGGAAAAATTAGCCCAGTATTTTATTTCGCATTTAATTACATATAATTATAGCAAATTAAATTATTATAATACTTTAAATGGCCAGCAATTATTATACGTATTAGTTTAGATCCTGCTAACAGTACCTTATTTTGACAGTTAGTTCACAGATAAGTTTATTTTATAAAATTAAATCTATCTGAATTAATTATCTATAAAATAGACTTTTCTGTGATCTAACCATTTGTGAATAAGATGTCTATGGATTATAACAACTTATAGAATTTCATTCCACTAATGAAGTAATTATAGCTTTAGATTGTTTTTAAAATGAGCAAAATGAGCTAATAATTTGATGCCGGCATGGAGTGGTTTATACTCCTAAATTACTCTAAAATATAATACTAATTAACATGATAAAAAGAAATTAATAATTTACTTAAGTTTCCAAGTGATAAATTAGAATAAATAGCTTATCTTAATAATTATTAACTAAGTTAGGGGAAGTTGTCAGCAAAGTAATTGACAAAATGGTAAGGTATGTATGTGTATTTGCTAAGAACCAGGTTGATAATGAGTTATTAATTATTAAAGTAGACGAATTAGTGTTACAGAGTCACCCAAAATACTATATTTGTTGACTTCTGCTATCGGTAATTAACTCGCTTGGCTATTATACTATTCATTAAGAATAAAAGTTAGAGATATCGAGAACCAAAGTTAGGCACTTCCCCTATTTGGATGCCTTATATTATTACTATCACTAATAATTACTACATTGTTTATGCAATACTAATTGCTAATAATTACTACATTATTAATGCAATCACTCTTTTAGACTTTTAATTAAATCGTGATCATGCTATTCATGCAAATCCTGATCCGATTACATGGTATCATGCAGCACTACGACAATTAGCTTTAGTAATTTAGTATAGTTTGGCCCTTTATGCTAACAACGGCCACACTGGTTACTTAGTTCATTAGAAATAGTTCAGTTTACCCTGGTAATAAGTGGGTAATCTTATATCAATATATATACGATATATACAGTGCATATATGCGATTACTTATATGCTTCTATATAGTGGTTTGTAAACATATTCTTTATCTTATTTATTTAATTGTGATTTTATAAAGGGATAATATATAATTTATTTATTTTTAAATTGTGTATTTAATATATATATATATATAATATATATCATGACTTTACATATATATTAATCAAGATCTTGAACTAATTCTTCTAAATTAAATTCATGATCTTCATTCATAGCGACATTAGAATTGACATTGTCTTCATTAGGGACATACAAATCCCCTACTTGATTAAACACTTTATAATACAAATCTACAACGTTATTAATAACAAGAACTACTACTTGATGATTAGGAATCTCTAAATCATCATCCGATTCTCCATTATTTTCATCTTCATAGTCTTCGCTTATATCATTTTCATCCTCGGCATCAAACAGATAAGATCTTTGAATCAATGCTACTAATTCATCTTCAGTTTTGTTTTTTACATTATATGATAGCTCTTTACGTGTATTAAGTAAATTATAATATCAGATTTTAGTAAGTGATTCTAAATTTTTTAACCCCAATCATTGTCTTTTTTCATAGAACCAACCCAAAATAGAAAAAATGTGTTCACATGACGTGCTATGTGGAGTTATTGCAAAAATTTTTTTGGCTAAAATTTTAAGATTATCGAACTTATCTTCAATAAAGCTCCACTATATAAAAGGTATCATCACTTGGCTATCATATCCAACATTGTATAGAAATTCTTTTTCCTTAAATTTGATAATTTGAGCAATAAGAGTTTGTGCAAATAATTTATCTTTGTATCCCATCAATTGCCATAATTGTGCAGCATAAAGGGTAATTTGTGTGTACATTCCCTTTCTTAAACCAGCGTCTATAAAAAAAAATTCAATTATTAAACATACAAATATAAATATACTAAAAATGTTAAAGAATAATATATATATATATCTCGATATTCAGAATGCAGCATATATGCTAAAATATATGGTTCTGCTTCAAGTTCATTCCAACGATTGTTAACAATTTCTATGCATTGATTTTGAAATGCAATCGTATCTCTTTCTTTTGGCATATAAGAAATAGTCGCAATTAAACGAACTAATTGAATAAAACAATCTGCCATTGTACAATCCGCTCTTTCTAATCGCAAAATTGTAGCTCTAATTGGAGCAAAAATTTTGGATATTTGTTCCACGTCATGAAAGAATCCTCGAGACTTTAAAATTATTCGTATATCTTGGTTGGTAATAGCATCAGGATGATTGTTTAAAACCTTAAAATTATTCAAAATATTAGTGTTAATACTATAGTATATTATATAAGAATGTGTGCCACAAAACAAAAAAAATTTACACTTTGCAACATTCGTAAAATCAATTATGCTAATTAATAAATTAAAAATCACCTTTTCTAATACAAGTTTAAGTCTAAACACAGAATTAACTGTTTTATACGCAGATGTCTATCTAGTTTCTATAAAAAGCTTCAATCCACCTCCGCTAATATTCAATTCATCTATATATCATTTTAGATAACTTCCAGCTAAATGACTAGTTTTAAAAAAGTAGCATATCTTATTGCAATATTTTAAAATATGTGCTGGTAATTTACATTTTAAAATATCATGACTAATAAGATTAACAAAATAAACAATACAACGAAGATTGATAATAGAAGGATATTTTTGATTAATCTGCCTACATACAGCAGCAATAGCCGAGGCATTATCAGAAATTACTCCAATAAATTTTTCGGGCCCAATATTAATTAAAATTTTTTCAATCTCATTAAAGAGTAAATCTGCTGTATGACTAACATGAGACAAATCACGAAGGGCATATAAAAATTCCTTATGATCAGGGTCATTATTAAAAAATTATAAATTGAAGCACTCTGAGGATTCGTCCAACCATCTAATCCTAAATAAAATAATATAAATTTAATACAATTATATAATTATATAAGTTAAAGTATTGTATAAATATATTAAAGCTAATTACCAAGTGTCAAGTTATCTGCAGTTTTTAAGTATTTCTCATTCTTCCAATTAATTTTAATCACTTCTTCATTTAATAATATATTAGAAAGATATTCACGAGTAGATGGTATATATGAAGATCGTAAAGATTTAAGTATGTCGATAAACCATAGATTCTCAATTATAGAAAATGGAAGTCTACACATAGCAAAGGCTTTAATAATTGTACAATCAATTGCTTCCTTCTTAGGACTTGCCAAAAATTGATTTTCATTTTTCCAATAATCATTAATACTTATTTTTTGTTTTTTTGATTGATTTTTTGAACTAGTTTTTTCTTTTGATAGTTGTCTCTAAACCGCAATTTCAAGATATTTGCTTCTTATTTCATCATCAAGGCTTTCCCCTTTACATTCTTTTGCAAGATGCATCTTAAGTTCATTTGGATACCCATGGCTAAATTGAGTATTGCAATATTTACATACTGCAGAAAAATGGCCAGGTGATTTTAATAGAGTTGCAGCAAAATGCTCCCAAACAGGATTCAGTAGTCTTCCTCCAGGATGTTTTGAACGTGTTTCATTTTCAGTTTCTCTTTCAGCTTCAGATGAATAATGCGAAGCCATTGAAGATGAATCATATGAAGTTATTGAAATTACAGAAGATAAATTTTGAGAAGTCATTAAAGGTAGCTTATGCGAAATAAACAACTTTAAATAAAAAAAAATTGTAAAAATCGAACTATTATTAGCAGATACTCATATATGCATATTTAAATTCATGTGCTATTCGCACAGAATCAATATTAACTTATTATTATCTACATACTTAATTAAAGATTTGGCCATCCATTTAGTCTTCGCAAAATAACCGGGTAAGTATTAGTTTTGAATAAAAAAGCATTTATTAGTTCTTAATTTTTTCTCTTGCTTACAAATACAAAATTGACTCAACCTTATTACATCATTTTATTGATTATCACTTTAGCTTTTAAATTAATGAATATTATACTAATAATTCACGTCATAAAATAAATATAGTCTGATCCAAAATATGGCTTCGATCTATTTTCAAATTGATCACATGTTACACATGATTATTTGGTCGCTTCGAAACTATTCAAGCCAACAATATGTATTAAATAATTTTTTCTCATTAATACGTTCTTTTCTCTATTGTTTTATATTAGCTTATCATTATATATATACTTAATTAGGGATTTGGCTATTCATTTAGTCTTCGCAACGTAACCAGGTAAGTATTAGTTTTAAAGAAAAGGTATTTATTAGTTTTTAATTTTTTTCCTTGCTTACAAATACAAAATTGACTCAACCTTATTATATCATTTATTGATCACCACTTTAGCTTTTAAATTAATAAATATTATACTAATAATTCACGGCATAAAATAAATATAGTCTGATCCAAAATATAGCTTCGATCTATTTTCAAATTGATCACATATTACACGTGATTATTTGGTCGCTTCAAAAATATTAGCCAACGATATGTATTAAATAATTTTTTTCTCATTAATACATTCTTTTCTCTACTGTTTTATATTAGCTTATTATTATATATATACTTAATTAGGGATTTGGCCATCCATTTAGTCTTTGCAAAATAATCAGGTAAGTATTAGTTTTGAAAAAAAAGCATTTATTAGTTCTTAATTTTTTTCCTTGCTTACAAATACAAAATTGACTCAACCTTATTATATCATTTATTGATTACCACTTTAGCTTTTAAATTAATGAATATTATACTAATAATTTACGTCATAAAATAAATATAGTCTGATCCAAAATC